CACAATGTATGGAATCTTCTGCATTTTTATCATGTCTGTTGTCTGTTATCTGCTGTCTCAGCACAGTTAAATAGAGTCAGTGGTTTTGTTGGAAAAGCCCTAGTGCCATCCAACTACTAACAGAAGTCAATGCAGAAATCTGTCCATCACATCAGCTACAGAAGTTGCATAAAGTTACAGAGGAGGGTGTATAAGGATCCAGCCACTTGGCCTCTATGGTTCCTCGCTACTGTTCAAAAGAACAACTTGTCCTTCAGATCCTCTAAAGTCTATGCAAAAAAGTGAAGATCCACTTCAGGGTCCTATCCATAGCCTCCTTGAGCACTACAGGATCATATCCATTGTTAGATTTTGTTGTTGTTGCCAAGTGTCACTGAGACAACTACAATTCACAGAAACTCTCTTATCAACAATGTATCTGAACAATGCACTATCCTGCTGCATCCTTTTACTAAGTCAATCTATCTTGTTGAGGGAGGGCCTATCTTTCTCTGACCTTCCACCTTTCCTAGCATGATATGCTTTTTCGAGTACTAAACCATCCTGGCAACATGCCCAAAGTATGAGAGACAATGTTTCACCATTACTGCCTCTAAGAAGCACCCTGGTTGTATTATCTACAAGACAGACTTGTTTGTTCTTCTGGTAGTCCATCTGATATTCCGTCCTCTTTTCCAACATCACAACTCAAAGACACTGATTCATATTATTACTTAGTGATCAACTTTCAGACACATAGGAATTTAACAGGTAGGGCTTAGACTAGGCACACCTTAGTCTTTAAACTGACATCATTGCTCTATAGCACTTTGGAAAGGTTCCTCACAGTAGATTTTCCCCAATACGTCTTTTGGTTTCTTGACAGCTGTTATCATGAAGTTAGACTCAGTACACTTCATTATAACATCCCACATTCCATCTTACTCATCTCTCAATTTCTACCACAGCAAATCCCTATTCAGCAAATAATTACTGGATAAGTAAGTGAATGAAAACTTGTCAACTCAGTCACTCATCTCCATAGTGGATTATGTTTCCTTACTGGTGGTTTGAAAATATGTTTACAAATTCTCTGATGCAGCTTTCAAAAAGTAGGGGTTGATTCCCTCCCCCTGTGAAAATCAATCACACTTAGTGACTGATTCAAAATAGAATGGATTGGGACTGATGATATACACTGTCCAAGGTGAGGTCATTTGTAACATCAGCCCTGCACTCAATGTTCCTAGATCACTTAGGTTGTTCTTCTGGAAGAAATCCAGCACCATGAGGTGAGGACACTCAGGTAGTCTTGGAGAGGTCTATGTGGACAGGCAATAAGCCAGCAACTTTGGAAGCTGATGTTCTCTAATACCAGTAAAACCTTTAGGTGACTGAAGCGCTGGCTGATACCTAGCCATCAAGTGAAAGGCCAAACCATTGCCAGATTCCTAACCAACATAATCTGAGAAAGAGAATAAATGCTTGATAAATGTACTAGTAAATTCGGTGCCATTTGCTGCCAGCAACAGAAAACTGGTACAACAAGCTCGGAGGATATGAGTATTATTTTACAAGGGGCATGAGGGGAGTTCATGAATGAGAAAGTTCAAAGAGATTTGTTATGCTCATGTCTTGCTTGTAATAAACTTTGTACCTTGACTCTTCTACAGCATACAATCATAACATGGCTAATTTACATGCAAACAAATAGCTCACAGATCAAATTATATGGAGTTAAAGTTTTAAACTACATTAAACACTGAAATATGATACAGAAAATTGCTACTACCTTTTTTGAAGGTCTGTTTGTTTTTAAAAATTTTGTATCAATAGTGAAGAAAAACATTCATAAAGATCTTAATCATTTTCTCAGGGCAATGATGCTGATGATGCTAGGTGTCCATGCATCATCTGTAACACACAGTGATCCTGTGTACAAGAGAAACAAACACAGACAGCCCTGGACCATCCTCACAAAGCACTGCTGTGTTTGAGCCCACTGTTGCAGGCACTGTGCCGTGCCACTGGAGGAAGTTCTTCACTGATCACTAGTATATATGATGTCCTCATCCAGATTCCCTCCTAATAACGTATCCAAAGCACAGGAGATGGAATCTTGTTGTTTTCCCTTCTAAGAAGCCTTCTTGTTTTACTTCTTCCAAGACCAACTCATCCTTGGTTGGTTGTTGGTTTTTTTTGGTGTGGTTTTTTTGTTTTGGGGTTTTTTTGGCAGTCCTTAGCATCCTTAATATTCTTCTTTGATTTCCTTTATTGTCAATCTTTCATATGAATATGCTGTTAAGTAACATCAAGTTGGAACTGACTCATAGCTGACCCTCCAGTGAGTTTTTAGAAGCTGTAAATAAAATGGGAGGAGAATGCCCAATTTTTCCCCTTGGAATATACGCATATGAGGAGAGTAAAAATATCATGGCTCGGATTGGGTGTAACTTAGTCTTCAAAGGGACTTTTCTTCTCAACACTATAAAGAGATCTTTCACAGATTTCATGAGTCTTGCTTCTATGGGTCTGACTGTGGATCCACGTGAAACCAAATACTTAATGAATCAGTCTTTTCTCTGTTTATTATGGTGTTGTCTTTGGCCTAATGGTGAAAATCTGTTTTCTCTATACTGAGATTAAATCCGTCTTTGATCTTGGTCAGTGAGTGTTTAAAGCCACTGTTCTTTGCTTTTAGTTGTGTCCTGTGCATACTGTAGGTTGTTTTTCTCAGTCCTCATGTTCTTCTTCATATTGTCCAGTTTCTTCGATTATTAGTTCAGCAAACAGATATAACCCTGATGTACAATTTTCCTGATTTAAAATCATGTAGTATTATTCCCTTGTTCAGTTCCATTGATTGCCTCTTCTTCTGTGTACATATTCCAAATGAGCACAATTAAGGGCTCTGGAATTCTCAATCTTTGCAGTGTTATCCATCATTATTATTACTCTTATTATTTTTTTCTTTTTGGTTATCCTGGTTTTCTTCAATAACATTATTAGTATACTAGTGTGTTATTTAAAAAAACAAAACTTTCATTATCCAATTAGGCAGTAACTATGTTTTGTTTGTGCCTCTATCCCTGCCAATTCATATGAGTGGCACATGCTGTTATGTGCTGTCAAGTCGACTGCAACTATAGCAACCCTGTGCATGACAGTTCTGAAACCCTGCCCTATTCTGAGCCAATCTCACTGTCTCTGACACACTTACCCCCATTACCCTAGTTACTGATCAAACCATCTTATCCAGGGCCTTCCTCTCCTGTGCTGTCCCTCTACCCTTCCAAGCAGTATGTCCTTCTCCAAGGATATTTAATCAAAGTGCAAATGATTCATGAATATCTTACAATAACAGATCCTACCTACTAGATAGCAGTGCTAAGAAGGGATTCCAGCATCTTGAGTCCAAAAAGCTCAATGATGTGAGAAGACAGCAGTTGATTTTCACAGGAGACAGACTACTAATTATAGAAAATCATTTCAATGCTACATTATTATGACACAGAATAACCACTTTTCTCTTTGAAACAAAGTATTTTGAGTAGTTTATTATAAATGTATAATGACAGTTATGAAAATCTCCCTTATTTTTTGGCAAAAGAACACAGTCTGTTGATTGCCTTGGTGCTTAAAATAGTTTCTAAGTGTCCTCATAATAGCATGTCACCTGTAAACAGGTTTCAAGCCAATGCAAATTAACAAATGGTGAACAGATGGACAAAGAACTGACTTTTGTCAAGAGAGAGTTAGCAACAAACACTTTTTGGCTCGAGTCTTATGGGACCATTAGAAAGTCTTTCACTTCTCGCCAAGTATCTTGCCTCAGTAGACGATCCATGCAGAGAAAGTGACAAGTTACAAGGCCCATTAGACTTGAGGGAGCTAAAAGTTGAGGCTCATTAAATCGACATACACGAAACAACAGAATAGTGTTCATTCAGAAGCTTTTCACAAAATAGTGAAAATTCTGTCTTGCATCACTAAAAGAAGTTGTCCTTGTAGGCTGTGAGAAATATGTTACCTGTGCATCTACATGCACAGAAAAATACTTGTTGAGGGCTGGTTGGGTCCGCTCATTCTACCATGGTAGCAAATGTTAACTGTGTAAATAAAAACCTAAAAATCACAGGGATGGCAGTCTGAGAGCGCTCACCGTCAGAGATGAGACCTGGGGAAGGCAGTGCTGTGGTGTCTGCACACCGCACGTGACTTTCTCCTCTTCCTTTTCTAGCTCTCTGCCTTGAAGTGGCTTTCTGCAATCATCCATTTTAAACCATTCCCTTCCTTCTTGCTACCCTATTCTTTCTTTCTGATCCAGAATGTTATAAATACAAGATTATATTATTACATTATATTTACTTATTTGGCAAAGTTTCATAATCATGAGTACATAGCTGTCTTACGCATATCTCTATCTTCAAGGCTTAGAATAGTACCTGGCACATAGAAGGCACGCAAATCCCCCACCCCCCACTCCCTACCTCTGTCTCATACTACTGTCAAGAAGGAAAAGTCTCATGGCTGACCCTCTAGTGGGTTTCTAAGGCTGTGAATAGCATGGGAAGAAACTGCTCAACTTTCTCCCAAGGAGCTGCTGGTGGATTTGAACCATCAGAAAAGAGCAGCTTTTGCAGTATCAGTGTAGCTTCTTAAAGACCATGCCACCACAGCTGCAATACAGTAATACTTGCTAAACAAACAAAAACAAATTAAGAAAGACTGCACTTTTATTCTGCCAATTTTGACAATGTACTAGGTAAATAAGTAACGTATGAGGCATCTAAATGCCATAGGTGAAAGTCACAGACAAAATAAAGAAAATAAGAAATGCATTAGAGCCACCTCATAAAAGCACAAAGTATATTTACCTTCATGTTTGGCTTGTAATTCTGACAGTTGTCTTTTAACAAGAAAGAAATAATTTCACAAATATAAGAACTTCCCAACAGCCAAAAATCTACATAAAGTAGAATTCACCCAGGACAGAAGTACTTCCCCAACTCATTACTCACTGAGGTGGTAAAACAAGAGTGGTGGGTTGAGCCTTTGGTCTCCGTTTAGCAGATACTCCCATCTGGTTAGCAGAACGTTTCAAAGACTGTTGATTCAAAAGGCCAGATGCCAGACCTGCATGGTACTGCAACTGTGGATGGGAAAAAAAACAAGGAAAGGGACATAATTTAGTAAGTGTAGGACAAGGGATATTAAACTATCAATACTTGATACAACTTACCCTCTTAGAGCATTTTAAATAATTTCACATACAGTTAACCCTGCTGCTTCAAAGAATTTATTAATAAGGAGAATCAGATAGAAAGAAACATAAGGCACTTGTAGTGATGAAAAAAAATGCAATTTAGACTGTCCAATAAAAAACTGAGACACTGGTTAAAGTACAGAAAGAATGAACAACATTCATTCATTTTCAATTCATTCAGCTGAATTAAAAAGCAAGCAAAACAATATTTACAAATTAACAGCTTATCAAACTGGCTTAAGAAATTTACTTTAGACGGGAAAGATGGTGGCAGCGTCAGGGCTGGTGCGGAGGCCGCTCCAGCAGGTGTCTGGGCTGCTGAGGAGGCGATTCCACAGGTCAGCACCAGTGGGACTGCAGGTGACAAGTCCGTGATGCTATAAATCAGGGGATGGATGAGGAACTGGAAAGAGATGAAAAGGTTTTTCTGCTTGGGGAGGAAGTTGCCCATTATGACGGAGCATAGAAGGTTAGTCAAGGCCTTTGGAAGAAATATGGAGACAAGCGGATCATAGACACCCCCATATCTGAGATGGGCTTCACTGAAATTGCTGTTGGTGCAGCTATGGCTCGATTGCGGCCCATTTGTGAATTTATGACCTTCAATTTCTCTATGCAAGCCATTGACCAGGTTATAAACTCTGCTGCCAAGACTTACTACATGTCCAGGGTTCTTCAGTCTGTGCCCATAGTTAGTCTTCAGGGGGCCCAACAGTGCTTTGGCAGGCATGGCTGCCCAGCACTCACAGTGCTTTGTAGCCTGGTACGGGCATTGCCCAGGCTTAAAAGTGGTCAGCCCCTGGAATTCAGAGGACGCAAAAGGACTTATTAAATCAGCCATTCGGGATAACAATTCAGTTGTAATGTTAGAGAATGAACTGATGTATGGTGTTCCATTTGAATTCCCTGAGGCAGGTCAGTCAAAAGATTTTCTTATACCTATTGGAAAAGCCAAAATAGAAAGGCCAGGAACTCATGTAACCGTGGTTTCCCATTCAAGACCTGTTGGCCACTGCTTAGAAGCTGCAACAGTGCTGTCTAAAGAGGGGATTGAATATAAGGTCATAAATTTGCGTACCATCAGACGCATGGACATTGAAACCATTGAAGCCCGTGTCATCAAGACAAACCATCTTGTAACTCTGGAAGGAGGCTGGCCACAGTTTGGAGTAGGAGCTGAAATTTGTGCCAGGATCATGGAAGGACCTGCATTCAATTACCTGGATGCGCCTGCAGTCTGTGTCACGGGTGCTGACGTCCCTATGCCTTACGCAAAGATTCTAGAAGACAACTCTGTACCTCAGGTCAAAGACATCATATTTGCAATAAAGAAGACATTAAACATCTAGTTTGGGCTTAAATTTTAAGTCATTGGAATTTCTTATTTAAAGTACTTGCCAATACTTCACCCGGATTGTACTTATTCAGAAGACTGTACTTATTAAGAGCTTATTCAGAAAGTAATTTTGAAAACAACAATGGAGATATCTGTGTATTGGGAAGTTGTTTAAATGTATGTGGAAAAACTCCACTCTATGCGCCTTGTTGTTGTATTTTTCTGTCTGTTACAGTCGCCATGTTCTATGAATAAGACCAATGTAAATGTCACTGTCTCACTAGAAGGACGAGATAGGAATGTGGCCTGATGAGAGATGTATCCTAAAGAAATAACTTATATGTATAAGATAAAAGTATATAATCTACACTTACTGTTAAAATTGTTTTGATACAGAATAAAGGAATTCCTGATTCTGGCTAAAAAAAAAATATATTTAATTTATGTACATGTGTTGGAATAACTTAATGGGAGTCAGGAAGCTAACACAATTTAAATGGGTTCTGCTTTTGTTCCTGGACAAACTGTTGTACTACTAGGTTAGTCAGGACAGATTCTCTTCTTTAAATCTTGAGTTAGTGATTAAAAAAAAAAGCTATCTAGTTCTAAACTCAATGGGACTTCTAAAAAACAATTATTTTACTGAATTATGACCTAAATAAAATAAAATGCATATATTTTAAGAGTTCACAGGGTCACTCTAAGTCAAAGTTGACTTTATAGCACCTAACAGCCAGTTTGATGAGTTCTCACAAAAGTATGGGTAACTGTGACCCCAATCAAGATAGAGGGGGAAAACTGCTATGGTAGTAGAAAGTTTTTTCCCCCTCTGCAACCAAACTCTTCTATCAAGATTTTTTTAATTTAAAATATAGGCCATCCTTCTCACTCAATGCCAAAGAAGCTTATATCCAATTTGATGTGTGATGACATGTAACTTTCCTTTTTTAATCCCACTTTTTGTTTTACATAAGAGTTGTAAATCTCTCTATAATAAAATTATCCTTGAAAGGTATTTCAATTTTGAGTCGATGTAAACAAAACATTCAAAAGTGAACATGCCAAGTCAAGAATTTGGATTGAAACCATTTATAACACCCAATATGTTTTTTCTCTCTCTTCTCAAATTAAGCAAGATCTTTCAAACATTTATTTAGAATTAACTAACTATACAGATAGCTATTCATTTTGAAGGTCTGAATCAAGTTCTTTTCAAAATACTTTCAAACTATAGATTTCCTTTGAACAGTCAGCTACATCGTGGCTCACAGTAATAGAACTCTGCCCATCACAGAAGAGGGCTTGTGGGATCTGGATTCAAAAGCTAACAACATTCTGAAAACTAAACAGCTTTACCTAAAGTCATTGGTCCTCACACAAAGAGAGTAAAGAAAACAAAACCGATTGAAATGACCCACTCCTTGAAAGTGGCTATAAAAATGAAGCTATCCAGTGACTCAGTATGACTGAAATGCCTATGTTTGGAGCATCCACATTGCTTTTTAACAGGCTCTGGTTCTACTTGGTCGATTTGCTGTGAGAGCCTTATGGCTGCACAATACAAGACAAAGATAGATCACATTCATAATAAAAATGGAGCTTTTCTTAGGGTGGAAAAGGGGGGCAATAATATGCTCTAACAACTCATCTTAGACCAACGAACTTTGCTCAAATTTGTTTTTCTCTTACAGATCCTTTAAATGGAAATCAATGGAAGCAAAGAATGGTATAAGTTTGAAAGACAATGTTTCAAAATGTCAGCTACTTGGGTTTCGATTCTCCCCACCAGAATTTGCAATGAGTGCAATATACAAGGGACTTTACGGAATTCAAGGGGAAATAGCTTGGCAGGAGCCCCCTCCTGGCTCCAAGAACAGTCTCTCCTTTTGGCTCTCCTTCACTGTATCATATGTACTAGGGTCCATGCAAGCTCAGCCATTCCAGCTCTGCTGACTCTCTGAGTGCTGGGATGCAGAGGGGGGTTGATTGTGCCCACCTGGCATCATTCTGATCACTTTAAAAAACCACCACCCCAAACAGCAGAAAAACATGCTAACTACTGTCTGTCCAAAGGTTTTCTTTCAAGTCTGTTATTTTAGATCCTCTCAGTGCACCTCCAACAGCACAAGTTGGACAAAATCTGTCCCTGAAAGCTGACTCATGATGGTTAAGTGACATTTGTTAATCATATATGGTATACGTATACCAGTTTCCAGGAACACGGCTCCAACTGTCAAGATCTATAAGGGGGTCCATTAAATATTTACTGAACCATCTTTACAATGAGAGAAAAGGTCAAAGTTAATAAAACTGACAGGCAGCTCCTGTCTAACTGGATTTATACATTATTTAAGCACCAAATACTCCATTCCATGAAACACAGTTTTGATCTGAAAAGACTCAGAAAATGTTCACTCAGCCAATGGTTCTGAAACAGCAGAAGGGAGTTCGGAGCTAATCCACAAATTAGCATTAAGAACATATCACACTCAAAATACTGCCATAAGTTTTCAATTACAGGTTCTGCAATATTTTCTATAAAAATACATTTCAATAAACATACTTCTCTCCAAACGTCTGTGCCATAAAAACAACTCCATTTCAAAAAACCAACTTAACAAAAGTTTTAATGTGTATTTAAACCTATGATCATATCTCCAGAATAAAATGGAAGTAATTAAACATTCTAGTCTTAACTTCCATATGTTACAATGGAGGTGGGGTGGAGGGGTGGGAAGGGGTAGGTCAGGGTCAAGGAGTTACCACCTAGTTATAACACCTATTTCAGTGTTCTTGGGATTTCTAAGAATAATTCTCTGAGTTTCAGTTGTGCTACGTACTAATTTTAACCTTGTATTTCCTATAAATAACAGAGAAATTTTCTGTCAGTTCTCAATTTAAACTCCTTTCTAATTAGTTATGTTTACTAACCACAGCTTGGTCGTTTGTGCCGTCCAGTGGATTCTGACTTGCGACAGCCTTTCACGACAGAGCAGACTATCCCAAAGTGCTCCCCAGCGCTTAAAGTCTATAATCTTCATGGGCGAGACCTGTAGGGTTTTCCTCCCATGGTGCTGCTGGGAAGGTACGAACCATCAACCTTCAGTCAGCAGCTAGAACTCTCCTCTCTATATATACCTGGGGAAATATCAACAACTCTTAGTGGCAAAGACCAATTAAAATTATGAAAACCTCGAATTTTTGAAAAGTAATGCTGTTTGACAGGATATCTACAGCTGTTCAAGGGGGAGAGGGGAGGAAAGAAGGGGAGTGGACGAAAGACAAAGGGAGAAACCACTAGAGCAACCGAGATTAGTGGTTGGATGAGGAGGTAAAGGAACAGGCAAAAATGCAATGAGGATTTTGATGAGACAGGGTGATAAAAGGCACTGATCAATAGTAAATATATAAAACACAATGGCTGGTGGTGATTGTGTGCTGTCCAGTCAGAACAACCCACAGCTGACCCTCCAGCAGGTTTTCTGAGACAGTAAATTGCACAGGAGATTACCCATCTTTCTCCCTTGGAGCAGCTGGTGGATTTGAACCA